AAAAAATTAAATAAATAAAAAATAAAAATAAATAAATAAAAAAGACAAACCTCCCAGAACAGAATTCCTTACTTAGAAGTGAAATCATCTAAAAAGAAAAATTTATTCTACGTAAATCCAATTCTCAGCGTCCAGTGCGAAAGCCGGGAGCTGGGATAACTACATACCGTTCCCACGGGAAAACCAGTGAGCTACAAATAACCCTTGTGAACGAATTCTCACAGCGCCCCGTCCTCTGTAGTGTACCACTGCCAAGTTCACCAGTGACGTCACTCAAGGCTTCTTCATGCAACTTCACTTCACTAGGAAGCTGCTGGGGAAAGGGTTTCCCATGACAACTGCAACAACAATCTTGGAGGGATCTCCTCTAACACCAAGAGGAGTGATTCCGAGCTAAGCCTTTTTCCTACGTCCTCTGGCAGCAACGTAAGGATCCTATCTCTACTGTGCATGACTTTCTACAACTCACAAAATGGAGGGAGGAGATGAGAGATGAGAAATGAGGTCGCTTCCGGCTCAAGAAGAAGGAAAGATCTATTTTGGAGCATGAATTCTCAAAGCTATTTCACTTTCAATCCTGTGGAGTAAGTTACATGCAGGCAGAAACAACCACGCCATTGATGGATTTCCACGGAAGCCCATTAACTAGGAGACTTTTGTGTTTTGTTGGGATCACTGTGCCTTTATAAATAGAAGCAACCTACATCAAAGACACCATGAGATTTTTCAGAAGCCTTCATTCCTATCTTCCAGAAAAGAAAGGGCTGCAGAAACCACATTCTGGATATTCAAGCTCTAGATAACCTAGAATGATCGACCCTAGAACATTCAGCAGGAAGTAACAGCTTCCCCAAAACACACACCAAAGTTAACTTACCAAGTTACAGATCATGCTCTGGTCTGTCTGCATGGTGAACAATGAAGTGTCCTGGGGCTGAAATTGGGGAGAAAATAAAAGAGGAAAAATTATGAAGGTTCCAGCTAACTTGCTAAAAAAAAAAAAAAAAAAAAAAAAAAAAAAAAAAAAGACAAAGATATCATTTAAATTAGCTTCCATCAATTGTATCCATAAACATAAAGTTTTTTTAACAGTCTCCTTTTATTTTACTTTATTTTTTTAAATTTATTTTTTCAATGTTTTTTTATTTTTGGGACAGAGAGACAGAGCATGAACGGGGGAGGGGCAGAGAGAGAGGGAGACACAGAATCGGAAACAGGCTCCAGGCTCTGAGCCATCAGCCCAGAGCCCGACGCGGGGCTCGAACTCACGGATCGCGAGATCGTGACCTGGCTGAAGTCGGACGCTTAACCGACTGTGCCACCCAGGCGCCCCTCCTTTTATTTTAAATCAGAAGAGCAGGTAATGCGAAAGTAATTTTAACAGTAGATGTTCTAAACATAGATGTCATAAATGTAGGTTAGCATGATACTATACAATAATATAGAATCATTTAAAAGCGGGCAGTGATTTCAGGAACATTTCTGTTCTGCAGCTTATCTTCTGGACATCTACACTGAATTAGAATTTAACAACTCGAAGGGGCGCTCGGGTGGCTCAGTCAGTTGAGTATCCAACTTCAACTCAGGTCGTGATCCAGCCACACACCGGGCTCGCTGCTGTCAGCACCGAAGCTTTCAGCGCAGAGTCTGTCCCCCTCTCTCTCTGACCCTCCCCCGCTCATGCTCTCTCTCTTAAAAATAAATAAAACACTAAAAAAGGAGGAAAAAAAAAAGAGTTCAGTCGCTCTAAGCTATATGTTCACACTTTTTTAAATGTTGGAAATTCAATCTTACACTGTTACCTAAGTATGACCTCTATGGGCTAATATTGAACCAAAACTTAAACATTTCATACCATGTATTCATTGACCTAAAAAATCAAGCTGGAATAAATCTAAGGGAACAGTGATCTCTAAGACAATATTCACCTCTCCTTATGCTGGTAGCCAGGTTTATAACCAGCAGATGGAAGACTGGAAAAGTCTTTCCTGGTTAATCTGACCAGTTGAAGACAAAAAAAAGTACCTACAGAAAAGGTTCCCAACAGAAAAGTTGAGATAGTGACACTTGGTTAAAGATGTCGAATCGAGGCAGTTACCTCTGTTACCTCCAGAATGCAAACTAAACCATAAAGGGAATTTCATAAAGCAAATTTAAAAAGGCATAAATCCCTGAGCATAAAAAGCATGAGAAGAAAGATAAGAGCAACAAAATTTTGAAACTGAAAAGCAGACAAATGGACAAGGAAGTTGGCAGACCCAGAAAAAAATCTGTATCCTAAGGTGATGTAAGAAATGCCAAAAAAGCAACCTGGTTTATTACTCAGAATTCCTAAAGGATCAAGAATTAGAGACAAGGGGCAGGGGAGGGGGGCACCTGGGTGGCTCAGTCAGTTAATCCTCTGACTTCGGCTCAGGTCAAGATCTCTCATTTCATGACATTTCGTGGGGCTCTGTGCTGACAGCTCAGAGCCTGGAGCCTGATTTGGATTCTGTATCTCCTTCTCCCTCTGTCCCTCCCCATTCTTGCTCTGTCTGTCTGTCTGCCTCTCTCTCTCAGAAATAAATGAACATTAAAATTTTTTTTTTACAAAAGATTTAGAAATGTGGGTACCAAGGGAAATAGAAGCTGGGTGGTGCTAAAGGTGGGGAGCTGGCTGGAAGTCTACTAAAAAGTGACTGGACCTCAAGATCCTTTCATCGATCTGCAAACCAAGTGATATCCTTCACTCCAATACAAGACTTGACATTTTTGCAGAGGCTGAAACAGAGGGTCTCTGGACTAGGGAACACCCAGACATCTTAGGAATAATAAATACTGAGAGTGGGGACTCCACTCCCCACCCCCAACTTCTTTCCCAGTCACCTCCCATTATACCCGCCAGACATGAGACAGAGAGCTGGAAGTTTAACCAGCCCAAGAAAAATAAATGCCTGAAGAATTTCACATCAGGGGCTCCTCAACAGGAAAAATGAGCCAGAAAGTTCCAGAACAACACCTATAGTCAGAGAACTCTACCTACCGGTACAAGTTCCCTGACAGCTTTTTACTATCTTACTCTTAAATGGGAGTAGATAGCCAAGATCACCAGACATTTAGGAAAAGTCTCACATATTAAAGGAAAAAACTGAATAGTTAAAAAAAAGCAAATGGAAGAAATAAAGACTTTGCAGGTGGGAAAAAAAAAACCTTCAAAAACGATCATGTTTATTAATAGTTTCAGAGATATAATAGAAGTGTATTCATGACATAAGAGGATGATGCTATTAAAAAGCAAATATTCAGTAAATGAAAGAGTTCTTGGAAATTTAAAAAAAGAGTAAAAAAAAACTTGTTAAAAGAGCTGGAAAGAAGAGAAAGATGATCAAGAAAAAGAAACAGCAAGGAAAACAATGATCAGAAGACTAGGTGAGGAACATATGGAAAAGAGAATATGACAGAATGAGAGAACCAAAACAGAAGAGAAACCATGAGGAAGGTAAAAAAAAAAATCTCCAATTAAAAACAGACATAGATTTTTAGATTAATAGGGCCTTAGTACAATGCATGAAAATAGACTGAGACCACAGAATATCACTGTAAAACTTCAGAAAAGTGGGGTAAAAAAGAGATGCTACAAACTTCCAGAGAGAAAGAGTGGTATCGAAGGGGGCAGAAAGAGAAAGAAAGGAGAGAGAGAGAGAGAGAGAGAGAGAGAGAGAGAGAGAGAGAGAGAGAGAGAGAGAGAAGTTTTCTTAAAAATACCAAAAGTCAAAATAACAATATAATGATTCAACGCTTCCAGACATCACCCCCGCTCTCACCACAAACAGGTGCACTCCTTAATTCCCATCACCTGTTGCCCCCGTCCCCCTGCCCACCTCCCCTCTGGTAAGGACCAGTGCGTTCTCTACAGTTAAGAGTCTGATTCTTGGTTTGCCTTTCTCTTTCTCTTTTTTAATTCTTTTGCTCATTTGTTTTAGTTCTTAAATTCCACATATGAGGGAAATCATATGGTATCTGTCTTTCTCTGGCCGCCTTATTTCACTTTTGCAAATGGCCAAGATTTCATTCCTTTTTATGGCTCGGAAATATCCCATTGTAAATACACAGACCACCTCTATCTGTTCACGTGAAACTAACATAAGACTGTATGTTTACTAAATTGGAATTAAAATAAAACCTAGGACTAATATCAATCATTTCCCAATAGTTTTTAATGGTTCAGTCTCTACACAAATACAAATTGCCTGCAAATTGAAATTAAAGTTCTGAAATAAGCTACAGAATTTCTAGTAGTAGATGAAAATGATGTTGGCGAACTATTACAGTATTACACAATTAATGGTGATGCCCAATTAAAGACCAGCCAATACATGAAGAACGGGTCAATACAAGGAGAACAACATAATAGATACTTGGAAGGAGAATACAATTTAAATAACTATTCAACACTTGATCTTAGCCAAAAGGCTGAGAAGCTATAAATAACTAAGATTAAGAAAGGCCCCTAGGTGGGGCACCTGGGGGTCTCAGTTGGTTAGGCAACCGACTTCGGCTCCGGTCGTGATCTCGCAGTTTGTGAGTTCCAGCCCCGCATCGGGCTGTGTGCTGACAGCTCAGAGCTTGGAGCCTGCTTCAGATTCTGTGTCTGCCCCTGTGTCTGCCCCCTCCCCTGCTCACACTCTGTGTCTCTCTGCCTCTCAATAATAAATAAATGTCAAAAAAAATTATAAAAAAGAAAGGCCCCTGGGAAAACTGACAAAATCCTCAAATATTAATTAAAAATTTATTTTTTTAATTTTTAAAGAATATTTATTTTTGAGAGAGAACAAGCAAACGAGCACGGGAGGGGCAGAGAGAGAGGGAGACACAGAATCTGAAGGAGGCTCCAGGCTCTGTCAGCACAGAGTCTGATGCAGGGCTCAAACTCACGAGCCATGCGATCGATCATCACCTGAGCCCAAGTAGGACACTTAACCCGACTAAGCCACCGAGGCGCCCCTCAAAACCTATTCTTGAGGGAAATAAAAAGACTCTATGATCTCGCTATAAAAGTCAAACATGAAGTAAAGTTTCTGTTTGTGAAATAGTTCTGTCAGAAAATTGTTTATTCTAAAAATTAGCATGGAGTTGTCATGATAATTTTACTAAATCTAAGATAAATTTTTTTTAAAAAGAATCAAAACAACAGTCTCTCAGTGGCAATACTAGGAGGTAGAGAAAATGGAGGAATGACTTCAAAATTCTAACGGAAAATATTATATCCTAATGAAATGTCCAATCTAACAGACCATTTTGTACATAGATACAGACATTTTCAGATGTGTAAGGTCACCAATACATATTTCTCATGCATACTTTTCTTAGAAAGCCTACTGGAGGATGTGCTTTAATTTGTGGATGAGGACATGTTCTAGTATGTGGGATTAAACCACAAAGGAGGCAGATTGGTGTCCAGAAAGAGAGGCCTGACATAAGAAAGAGGTGAAGGCCAGTCCCAGGTCAGACATACCAGAAGAGCCTGGGGAACAGCTGGGGCAGCAGGTGTAGCCAGAGGGAACCCAGTTCAGACGGAGCAGTCCAGAAAGAGAGACGAGCAAATTCTTCGGGAAGATGAAACCGACTGAATGCTTAATGTTTGCCAACAAAAAAGGAGGGGAGATTCACAGAACTACAGAGTATGGGACTGAATTAGTGAGATGTACCTAAAAAACTACGCAAACAAACCAACAAGCAAACAAGTAAGAGCCTGCAATTATTTCCTCAAAGGAGAACAAAAGGCTGGCATAAAAGTAAACGGAAACTTCATGGCTGGGGCGCTGACAGCATTTGTATCATCGTACTATTACTATTACCAGAGATTGGCTGGATGGCTTTGGTGGGACTACAGCAGGGAGAGAGAGGGCAGGAGGGAGAAGGAGGGGTGAGCCATGGGGGTGGGGGGTTATCTGCAGGCATGTTAAGTCCGCACCTTCCAGAGAGGAGTCGATAGATAACAGAAGATAGATAATGATTTAGGAACCACAAAGTAGCATTATAAGACAGTTATGCGCACACCTGTGGCTGAGATCAGAGAACCTGGTAAAAGGAGTTGAAGTATTTACCTCTAAGAAATCATCAGAAAAAGGGGCGCCTGGGTGGCGCAGTCGGTTAAGCGTCCGACTTCAGCCAGGTCACGATCTCGCGGTCCGTGAGTTCGAGCCCCGCGTCGGGCTCTGGGCTGATGGCTCAGAGCCTGGAGCCTGCTTCCCATTCTGTGTCTCCCTCTCTCTCTGCCCCTCCCCCGTTCATGCTCTGTCTCTCTCTGTCCCAAAAATAAATAAAAACGTTGAAAAAAAAAATTTAAAAAAAAAAAAAGAAATCATCAGAAATGGAGGAGGTGTGGATGGTCTGAACTTTCTATACAAAACACTATTATACAATTTTGTTGCTCTTTAAATGACGCGCATTTATAACTGCTAAGCACACAAATTCAAAAAAAAAAAAAGAGAGAGAGAGAGAAATGAGTAACAATTCTCCTGACCTGACCTTTTAAAGAGTTTCAGGCAGACGGAAGAGATGCATTATCATCTCCCTTAGTGTTTGTGTGTACCTGCATTCGGATGTGGGTCTGAGCGGAACTTTCTCATTTCACAGGTAAGGCTATGTATGATTCTGCGTAAGGAGGCTCCTAAAAACCATTTCTGTTTTCTGAAGACCCATCCCATTAGTTCAAAACAATCCTCTCTCTTCTTTTCCGACAGCTGAATCTAGTGGATCTCTCGGATCAGGACAACCTCTAATTTCTAGTAGAGGAATCAGCATAATTCTGTGGTTGGCTAACAATGTCAGTAGCTAGGACAGTCAGGAGGTACTTAGTATGTGCCGGGCTACCGGGCAAAGTGTGCTGGTTGCATATTTCATGGACTCTTCACCACAACCCTACGATATTGCCACCATTGCTGCTTCCGTTACCAAACTTGCAAGTGACAGGGTCAAGACTGCCCCGACGCGCTTAAACGTTATGTTACTCAAGTGACACTGAGGCCACTCATTCTCAACAGATGGGTTGTGCAAGCAAACCGATCTCTTACCTGGGTGAATCCATTAAATGTACCACTGGAAGCCTAAACAGAAAGGGAAATCAAAGTACGTTACTTTGTATCATTTTTGTGAGATCAGCAAATGTCCGTCAGACAAGTTGGAAAGTAAAGACCAGCACACATTTTAAAATAATACAAAAGGCTACTGTGCACGAGAGTGTTTAGGAAATGCAAAAGACCAAAGTGTATTATTTTAAATAGGCTGACCAAAAAAAAAAAAAAAAAAAAAAAAGATCCTTCTTACAATTATTGCTGGTGTATGGCTCAATGTTAATCAAAGCCCACTTTCTCAGTAATGAGAAGATGATTCCAGAGGAAAGTCAGTGAGCTTCTTTTTTAGGCCACTGATAGAATCCATCTGCATTCTTAGGACTTCTCTAAGACATCATTTGAATGAATGGCTTTTGGGAGATTCTATAGTTTCTGGGGGCCCTGGGTGGAAACACTGCATGTGTTCTTAATGGAGTAGAATCATTTTAGGAATAGTAAATTAGTCTGTTCTACATATTTGTAGCAGTTGAACAGTAAAAAGGAAAGCGGAATAAACACAATAAACGGGATGGTACATAGACTCATTAGTTCCCAACACAACCATTCTGCTTTTTGTAAATTTTCTTTTTTTTTTTTTGGTCAACCTATTTGTGTTTGGTTTGCACAGATTTCAAGGAGATGAGGCAGGCGTCAGAGAAGACAGTGATGGAGAATGAAATAGGTGGGAAACATTAGGAAAAACAGAACCTACAGAAGTCTTTGGCTAGTCTATACTACATACGAGGGTAAGTACCTCTTCTTTATCAGGCTCTATTTCTTGGTACAACAATCCATATCTCTGGTTAGCAATTTCATCTTCGGATAAATCTGAGTTGCTGAGGTCACTGTCTTGGGGACTAGCGGGACTGTCGGTGCTAGCATTGCGGGAGGTTCCCAGAACCAACGGTCTAGCCATGTCTCGGCTTTGTTCCCAGCACTTAGCAATGGCGTATCCCCCCACCACATCTGCCGGTGAGTCCACCTCCAGCCCTCTCTTGCCTTCAATTGTACCTAAATGTTCCCAGGAATTATCTAAGCCTCCCACATCTCTGATAGGCCAGTGGTTAATGGAATCGAACCAATTGGCAAAGCCACTTGCTTGGCCATCTGGTATACCAGAGAATTCCAATATATCCATATTATTCACTGCTGAATCCAAGCGTGGCTGCCAGATTTGACCTGGATATGTTGCCCAAGAGTCTGTTTTCACAATACTTGGTAAGTTAATGGTAGGACTACAGTACCCAGTCACTGTACTTTCAGACCCCTCTATTAATGAGAACTCTGCCTTACACAAACACCAATCTCTTCGGTTTGCATTAGCTCCCAGAGAATAATTAAGGTCTGTCCTAGACTGAGCTGCCACTTCATGGTTTACTGAGGAAACAACAGACTGATGTTCATCCCTGCCAACGCCAGGAGTAGGTAACACAGCCTCCTGCTGAATTTCTTCTGCGTCTGCACTGCCTCGTCCTGAGTGATGTTTTACACTGTGGTTAGGAGGACCTATTGAATTTTTCCTTATGTCTCTTCTAGCTAAATCCCATCCCTCAGGACTGGCATTTTCAATATTAGATACAGAATCAGTCTGGAGACGCAGATATAAGACATCTGCGTGATGGGCAGGGTTAGCTCCAGAGCCTTCTATAATTTCACAATTATTGATTACTACTGGACGCCCCTCATCTAGCCCTTGGTTTCGGTCACCAAATTCAGCGGCCGTAGCTACTCTTTCCAGGTCTTTTTCTAACGCATCAGTTGTATCAGAATTCTTTGCACTGGTCTTTTCACTTTCCCGACAACTAGCTCTTAGATCGATGCTCACTTCCTCTTTACTGATTTCTAAGGTCTCCTGGTCTGGCTTTCCTGTTGTCTTAAGGAGATCTACTAGCCTGTTTCCTGCACTTTCCCGTGCTTTCTCTTCAAATTCCTCTGTACCTTCTAGGGCCTTGAGATCAATAGGTCCAGTGTCTACCTTTTCATATGTCTCCACACCTGCCCACAGAGAATCTTCGATCTTCTGTTTCTCTTCCTCTTCTTCTGACTGTTCAACATCTTCTGGACTTTCTTCGACCGGGCCACCAGTTTCTGTGGCTGCCATCTCTGAGTCAGATAAGTCATGAGGCCGCTCCATCTCCATATAAGCAGCTGTGGCAAATTCAGCCTCAGGCATGGGCTTTGGGTACAGCTGTTCACTTCCACCCGGAGGGGCTGGCCCCACAACAAGCTCGCCCTGGTCAGCTACAGTGTGCCAGTCAGCGGAAGGAAGCATTCCAGTGGACAATCTCATGTCCTGCTCTGCTTCAGAGAGACATGAAGAGTCTTCCTGAGACCCACCTTGGGTAATTTCCTGGCTGACACTCTCTGTACTAGCATCAGGGCCCCAAATAAATGCACCTAGGTCAATTTGAGATCTTTGAATTTCTTCGGCCAACCCACTGTCTGGAGTTTCCTCCATGATCAGGTTACACAGGGAAAGGCTTTTTGAAGAGTCAGTCTTTAGAGTATGCAGAATAGCAAAGGAAAAAAAACAAACAAACATAAGATAAAATAGACTATGGCAGGATTTGATGAGAAATGCAAAGCTCTTCAGTAGGGTAGCGCCAGTTAAACAAAAGTAGAGTATTTAAATTAAAATTAAAATTAAATGGTTAAGGTTAAATCTGCAACTAGCAATGCCATGGAGGAAAAAAACAAGCTCATTCTAGATAATATCCACATATACAAGGCATAGTAAATATAAAAAGAAATCCAGAATATCCTGGATATTTACCTACCGGTTGTACCAAATCAGTGCTTGTCTGCATGAGTAAAAAGAATAATAATAATCAGTAGTAATAATAATAATAAGGCAAAAGAAGAAAATTCCCTAGCACCTTACCATCCCATGCTGTCCAGAGTCAACATTCTCCTGAAAGCTGTGGCTTTTACTGGTTTGAGATCAACTTTTATAATTTGTTTTGTGCTAGGGGTGAGTTTTGTTGCAATACTGTTTAAGATGACACAGTTGAAACCCGAAGAAAGCCTCTGCCATTTTCTAGTCGGCAAGGAGGCCTCGTGGCTATTACAGGACTTCTGCTTTAGCAGAACTCTGAACTGTGAAGTTTTCAAATAAAGAAGCAAACTCAAGAACACGAGAATAAGATCAATCTCTAGCACCCACAAGAGTACACACATCACATGCTCGGTCACAGTACCAGAACAGATCTTCCCCCAAACTCCCCCCACACTGGGTTCTGCCTCTGAGGCAGGGGGAAGATGGTCTGGTACTAACCGCTCTGACTGCCTGGGCGATTGTCCTCATGTCCTCCCCGCCCCCACCCACGAACTAGAAGCCTGGTCTGCACACAGACGACACTAAGGGGTTGAGGGGGAGCAAGGAATGCCAGCAATTATGGCCAGGGAGCTACTGTTCTGCAGTGTCGCCATCACCATCTTTCTTTTTTTTTAATTTAAAAAAATTCTGAGAGAGAGAGAGCACGCACGCAAACAGGGGAGGGGCAGAGAGAGGAGGAGACACAGAATCCGAAGCTGTCAGCACAGAGCCCGACATGGGGCTCGAACTCACGAGCTGTGAGATCATGACCTTAGCTGAAGTCGGACACTCAACTGACTGAGCCTCCCAGGCACCCCGGTCATCACTACTTTTCTTAGCAGGTTTATCCTCTGAAATAATCAGTGCTCTCCCTAGATGATACCTTCACCCTCACCACACCCTTCCTGGCGAGGAAGGAAAAATGTATTGTAACTCCAACTGAATATGTGAAATACTGCAACAGTAAAACATGGGCACTGTCCTCTTGATCTTCAAGAAAATCACCATGGAGTTGTGGCTAGAATTCAAATGTCCTGAACGGCAGTGCACATATCCCTTTTTGTGATTACACGAGCAAAGCCAGCTCACTATAAAAGATGTTTTCAGTCAACATTTTTTAGCTCTTCTCTTGAGAGCTTTCCAGGATGCTTTAAGGATCCGAAGTAGGGTGGTATAAACCCGCTCCTGTGGAAGGGAAGGGGGCAGTCAACTTTCTGTCTTAGGGGAAGAGAGTAGCAATGTCACTTCAGAAGACTAGACCCATGAACACCAAGATCTAGCAAACTTTCCTACCGCTGTCTCACTAAAAAAGAAGAAAAACACACCAGGCGCCTGGGTGGCTCAGTCGGTTAGGGTGTCCGACTTCAGCTCAGGTCATGATCTCCCAGTTCAGAGTTCAAGCCCCACGTCAGGCTCTGTGCTGACAGCTCAGAGTCTGCAGCCTGCTTCAGATTCTTTGTTTCCCTCTCCCTCTCCCTCTCTCTCTGCCCCTTCCCTGCTCACACTCTGTCTCTCTCTCTCTCTCTCTCTCAAAAATAAACTTTAAAAACATAAAAAAGAAGAAAAACACGAAACCCAAGTTGAGCTCTGAAGACCATGTGACCAGAACTTTTCCAATATAGGGCAGACAAAGGCCTTATTCCTCAGGGATACCAGGCTTCATGTGAGTATGGCCACCCTCCTAATTCCCCAGCACAGATGCCGCCACCACGAAGTTCCATTTGTGTCTTTTTTCCCAACTCTAACTTCTGGAAGTGCCCCTCTTTGCCCATCAGATTAGCTGAATACATACCATTACCAGTAATAGCTACCTTTTACTGCTATGGACCAGATGTGGGGCTAAACACTATAAATATCAACTACTTGATCCTCACGTGGCCCTCTGAGGTAGATGACATTGCCCTTATTTTAGCCAGGAGAAAAACTGAGGCCGAGAGAAATTCATAAGTCGCCCGAAGTCATATTGCTGTAAGAGGTAGAGTCTTGATTCAAATCCAGGGCCGTCTGGCTCTAAAGCCCAAGATCTTGTTGACGAAGCTTCATTATTACTGAAAATAATAGTGAGAAACTGGGTCCCGGTGCAGAGTAGCATGTCCCTTACGTTTGCTCAGCCACATTTTCTTCTATTATACTTAAAAGCAATAAAAAAGGTGCACGTCCTCAACCGCAACATCTCCTGTGGCCAATAACCACGGGAAGAAGCATAAAAAGGCATAACACCACAGATTCTTGCTTATCTAGGAGTCTGGAACAATGACACTCTTTTCCACGCCACTGTTTCTAGGTGCTGGTAATGCTTGGAACCACCAGGGAGCTGATTATGGTTCTAGGGGGCTACATTACCATTAAAAAATGTCTAGGTCTTCAGGGCCCCTGGGGGGCTCAGTTGGTTGAATGTCTGATTCTTGATTTGGGTTCAGGTCATGATCTCAGGCTTCGTGAGACGGAGTCCCACGTCGGCTCTGCACGGACAGTGTGGAGCCTGCTTGGGATTCTCTCTCCTCTTCGCTACCCCTCTCCTGCTTGTGTTCTCCCTCTCTCTCTCAAAATAAAAAAATAAACTTAAAAAAAATGTTAGGTCTTCTTCTCATCACAGATTAATTAAAATATAATAAGGTTTCCAAATTTCTAGGGCTCCAGATACATCAAAATAGGAGTTCTCCGTACTCTTACCGTCCATAGGTCCCAGGGCAATGTCTGAAAGCAAACAAACAAAAATATGGTTAGTATACAAATCCCAAGCATGTAAAAAAATACTGACGTGATGGAAGTTCTGAAAATAAAACATTTTTGAAATATTTAGTACAGCACTGTTCAACAGAACTTGCTTTGGTGAGGACAGTGTTCTGTATCTGCGCTGTCCAAGGTGGTAGCCACCAGTCACGGGTACTATTAAGCGCTTGAGAGGTGCTAGTGTAAGAGAACCAAAATTTAAAATTTATATACTTTGATTGTATTTAAATTGGAATAGTCAAATGTGCCTTGTGGCTACTACAATAAACCACAGGAGACCAGTCAATCTGCTTTTCACTGTAGGAGTAAAAACTGTATCTGAAACATGATGAATGTGTTTACTTCACTCACACACACACACACACACACACACACACACACACACACACACTTAAAATGAAGTACAAGGTGTCCAGATTTTAGTTTCTCACATCTTTGAGGAAATACAGATCTAATCATTGCTACTGCTTCCTCTCCCCCCACCCTCCAAATTCAAGAGGATGAATTATGACCAGTTTGATGGTCAATGAACCCCAGAAAGGTAGTTCTTCAATATGCTGAATTAGATGATAACACAGCTCAATTAATAATCATGCAAATCAGCAGGGTGCCTGCTAAGACATAATGGATGAATATGCTTACTACTGGCATTTTAATTATAAAGCTCATTGATCCTGGGGAGCAAATCCAGATGGTTCAAGTGACTTCCACCCATGTGTTTGGGAAAGTGAGGGAGACCTCTCTCATCTCCTTTGTGATTGAGAATTGCTGCTAATGCCACACCCTCTTCTGCCTTTGTCTTTGTGACTAGAATCAGATCCTTGTTTATGCACTTGTTTTGATCTCTAAATGAGTGGCAAATTAGAGAGCCTGGCACGCCCAAACTAAGAACATGGGGGTTTCCAGATGGGGTCACAGATGTCTCACTGGGATTCAGTACTACAGGACAGGGGTCCTGTGGTTCTTAGAGAGCCCGCCCCCCCTTGGCTGTATCACCCCAGCCGCCCTGCGTCTCTGTGCAGCCTGGCTGCTCTCTGGGTTAGGTCCCACCTGTTGAAGGACTTAAGAAAGGAGAGCAGAACGGTTGCATGGAAAGCCCCAGTTATTTGTATGTGTACTCCTTCTGCATCTAACATGTTTTGTGTTTTCTTGCTTCCCAGCCTCTTAAGAATCACAGCTCCTAAAAGCTACCCCATATCCCTGCCTCATGCAGATGGCGTGGGGTATTTTCTCCAAAGGAAGGCGGCAAAGTGAAACGTCTTGTTTATCAGTCCTCAGGATCACGAAAGGACACGTTAACGCGTGCGGACACCATGGAGATCGCAAGGTGAGCTGTTCTGCCAGCAGCAAGAACATCCATTTAAAGCGTGGGGTCAAGCGATGGTTAAGCGAGATCATTCTGAGCGAAGGGGAAAGAAGGCCCGCACAAATCTAATGGCTCTGTGCTTTTTTGCCCTCTCAGCCTAAGACTGTTCTTGGAGAAGAGATGTGATTAGAGCCAGCTCACAGGATGACTCTGCAGTGAGGTGACTCAATTAGAGCCACTGGGCAGCCGGGGCGGTTTATTACCTGGCCTGAGGGAGGACACGGGGCACACACAGCTTTTTCTAACTGCGGTGATGCATTTTCTTCAGAAGAAAGACTTGTGAAGATTTAATCAAGGTCATTTAAAAAAACCTTTCTTAAGTTTGTTTATTTTTGGGGGGTAGAGAGAGAGAGTGTAAGTGGGGGAGGGGCAGAGAGAGGGAGACACAGAATCCGAAGCAGGCTCCAGGCCCCGAGCGGGCAGCACAGAGCCGGACACGGAGCTCGAACCCACGAACCATGAGATCATGACCTGAACCAAAATCAGACGCTTAGCCGACTGAGCCAACCAAGCGTCCCTCGGTCATTTTTTTTTCTAATTATGAAAGAGTCTCTTAGTCCTAAATCCACACAAAGTTCCATGATTTGTGGAATTTTTTAATCATGGGTTGATATAAAAGAGGTTTCTCTCTTGATCCAACTCGCAGATAGACATGCTGTGGGATCTCATCCACTGATCACGACAACATTCACTGTAGAAACCTGCCTTCTGCCACTAGAGCAGTGAACGCTGGAGTGTGAGGCAGAGAAGTCCTGTAGACAAAGAAGTCTACACAGTGAGAAAGCTCTTTCGCGGAAGTATTCTGAATGATATGTACATTCATCTTCTGCTTTGCTGGGCCCCCAAGGCAGAACCCTCAAGCTTGCTGATAATCACTATGGTGGCATTCCCCAAAGTATGTTTTAGAGAACATTCAAGGGAATGTGAAGAAACTTTCATTCAAACAGATTTCTGTGGTCAAACACATTTGGGAATCTCTAAGTTAAACAAGTCTAAACGGTTTTTTCTTTTAATTGCAGGACTTCCTGGAGCCTTTAATATTGTAATGCCTACCATGAGTCTCCTAAAAGGGATTTAATAGAACTTTCTGAAACATTTATCTAAGAGACCCATTTTTTTGCAAAATATCTTCAAAGGCTCGTATCTGATCTGCTTAATTACCTGCTTTACCGACATCTCAGATTTGTATTGTTCCTGTATTACAACAGGGAGGCCTTCAGAAATGCGATCACATTCTGGAATAAAGCATGGATTAAAGAGAGGCTTTATTTATTGAGGTTCATACTAAGCTGACAGTGGTTTACGGTAAGGTATCACGAAGGCTTCAAGACTAAAAGATTGAGCTAGGTCTCAGTTTATAATACACCTTTCTTAGTTCACGGGAAGTATATCCCAGCCACCTTTGGATTTGCCCAAATTCAAATGTGAGGCCCCAAGCACATCAAAAATACTGATACAAACAATTTCTGCTTAGACAGATTTTGAGTTAACTTCCTTTCATGGGCACAGACAATCGTGAAGGAAGAAGTCTACTGCAGAGGAATCATCCACAAGCCATTAGAGCACCCCGCTCCGGGGCCCTTCTGCTGGAGAACGCTGTGGCCGTCACTAGTGAAGTGAGGAAAGGTTGAGGATGATGATGATGAGCAAGGGGAAGCTGGGTATGGGAGGCCAGCTCCGCATCAAGCCATAGCCCAGATCCCATAGGGGAAGCTTCTGCAATGTGGAGGAAGACAATGTCATCAAGTTCAAAGTGACCAAGACTGGAAAACATTTCCGTTGGGGCACAATTTCGAGGCTATGTCTAACGTGCTTTAATCTCCAAAGCATGGAGAAGGAACGTAGAGGAAACAGTGAGAAGGTTAAGTCCAGGGCCAAGAGAAAGAGCTTCATTTAGAGAAGTCATGAAATGTATCATCGAAGTCTGAACGGTCTGAGTGTAAAATGATACTAATGATACAATTACTCTGAGACAAGGGATTCCTGGGCAACCATACATTCCAGTTTGGGATGTATGGTTATCCCAGCTCTATGGGTAGAGAGAGAGGGAATGGGAGGAGGAGGTTTGGAGATAGATATGGATAAGGTCTTCTTTCTACCCTTCCTTCCATTAGAAAATGTTTGTCAACCCAAAAGAAAAGTAAATAGTCACTTGAAATGGAGAGCGGTCTGAAAGGCATCTGCTGCCCTTGAAGTTCACGAAAACGTCATCTCCAAACATCAAAGCTGCCATCGGATACCTGCGACATGGGTGAGTGGGTCACTCCAGCAGAACCTGCAGGTGTCACCTCAGGCTTGAAAGGGTCGAAGTCCAGATCCAACAATGTCTCCTCTTTCTTCACCTCGGGGACTTCATTCTGTTAAAGGAGAACAACACAGAATATGAGACTTTATGATATAATCTCCGTGTAATCCTCTACTATCACTGAATATCCCCAAAGCAAGCTCTGATAGTTTACCCAGAGTCACTCGCGAAATGTGATGAAGGGGGAAATAACCAACTCTGGCCAACTGGAACCTAAGATGCGTAGGAATGCGACCCAGGTTTTGGTTTCTGTCCTTCGTCCAGCTCCGAATCCAGCCAACAAAGAGAATGTCTAAGAGGTATATCCTGATGCCATCAAGATCCAAGGACTCTCCTCTGCTAGTTTAGGAATCTCAGGTCAAGAATTACGGACGACCAGATGGATACAATAGGCCACGGCTGGGACCCATCACCATAGCCCATGGCTGTGAGGTCCCCTGCAAAGCTAGTGTGTAAAAAGGAAGGGATGCCATCTACCCGGACTACCTCCACCTGCCTCATCCCCTCAGAGAGACCCTATCCTTTGATGTAGTCATCACATGAACCATTCTTCATCCATATTACTGTTGGTCTCCGCTGTAAGTATGAGGGAGGGAAGGTGAAAGAGAAAGAGGGAGGGAGAGAACCACATCCCCCAACATTTGCCATAAAGTAACATTCCTTGATTAGAAACATGTAAGCCAAATAAGACACAGGATAAAAGTCCTGCTATAATAGCGACATATTTATAATACTGAACATTAATATTCATTCATTTATTGTGGTCTCATGATACAAAAAAAAAAATAACATGGCTTGAAGTTAGCCTAGCCTTGGCTTAAGTCACGCAGTAAGGGTCAGAGCTGAAATAAAGCCCCCATAAACAATCACGGTGAACAGAACTGGCTCAGTTTCCACAGAATCAGGTAATGTGTGTTTGGTGTTTGATATAAGCTTCAGTTTTGACCATCTGTACTCTAGAAACTCAAAGGTCAGAACCATGGATGAAGCACAAAAGAATAGGAATGTTCAGAGAAAGCTTTTAAAGAACAAGAGTTCTTTTAATTAATATTGATCATAGACATAAAACTTAAAAATACATAGAGCTGTATGAATAGCTTTGGGGCATAAGAGATAATTGTTTTTAGTATATCCACACTCACTGCAGAAGGAAATCTGCTTAAATACCACGCGATTGGTCCTGGGCTACCTATTTTGCAGCATGATCATTCTTACACGTTTAAAATTTCACAAGACTAATCCTTCTTGCTTTAACAATTACAGTCACAAAACCATCAACTGATTCCTTTGGCCCCTATTCAAAATCTGCATGGGTTTTGTTTTTTGCCAACATTTGTATTGGTACAAGTTATAGGTCTAAAATTTTGCGAACACTTACATTGACTTAGAATGTGCTAGGCACTGTTCTGAGAGCTTCGTGCATATAAATATTAACTCAGGTTAGGGCACTTCGCTGCAGTCTAATGATACAATGCTACAACACTATTATTGCCTTCAAAGAATGACCTTCCTAGATCCCCCAGATTTCATTTCGCCCGCATGGTCTAATCCTTACAAAAACCAAGGGGTAAATGGCATCATTCCTCCATCTGGGGATAAGGAGAGAGGGCTGTTGTCCTGGGTCCCTCAGATGCAATGCAGCCGAGGCAGGACTGCAACAGCCAGAAGCCTTGGACCCCAATGCTATTCCAGGCTGCTGCTAAGACCTGGGCCCACATCTCTCAAACAGGCACCATGGGGATCTGCAGAGGAATTCTGGACAGTCTCTAAGTTCTTCTTAAAACGTGAGCCCAAACGAATCTGTCCATTAATCCTCTCTGAGCCTAAAGGGGCCCCTTATGAAAGCTCGAATGGAAATGTAGAGCTCAAGGATGACAAGTGGCATGAGACTGTATACCAGTGTGGTGGTCTTCAAAAGGTGCAGCTGGCTACTTCAGATTCCATTTCTATTTGGTTTTGCACCCTTAATTCTTGCGAGTTACCCCTTAAGGCACTCATATCAAACAGCAGTTTGACAGAACTACAAAAAGAGCAAAAAAAGGAGTTGCCCGCTGATACAGCATTCCTTTATAAAATGACAACCCTGTCATTAACATGTTGAAACACGGTGACAGGGCTTGGGTATGAAGCTCATTGAGCCCGGATTTCAGCCAGGTCACCCATCTCAAGGGTCCTGTGGAGTTCGAAGCTCCCTGCTGGCCACTTAAGCTGATGGCTCAGAGCCTGGAGCCTGTTTCCGATTCTGTGTCTCCCTCTCTCTCTGCCCCTCCCCCATTCATGCTCTGTCTCTCTCTGTCCCAAAAATAAATAAACATTGAAAAAAAATTAAAAAAAAAAAAAAGAAAACACGGTGACATGTCATGTCCCTTAATGTAACAAAAGAAAACTCCTCTTCTCTCTTTCCTTATACCTGAGTCACCAAGCAGAGATCTGATGTGGTGTCGACATTTGTAAACTTTTAGAAGCCAGAGCTTAAGTACCGGGTTCCCATTAAAAGTCTAGACCCAGAATGTGATCCTAAGAAAAGAGACTACATGTGTAAACCACAGGGGGAAAATACCCAAAGGGAAGATCTTACCAGTGATAATAATCTTCAGGAAGTGTCTTCTGCTAGGGACATCTAAGTTTATAAATCAAGTACTTCTTCCACTCTAGGTAGACAATTTGACCATAATCCTATGCCTAGTCTTGCCATGGCCTCCCTACAGATGGAGTTTACTGCCTTATCCCTTGACTTGGGGTTGACCATCTGTCATGCTTTAGTCAATGGATGTTAGTAAATGTCACACAAATGAAGGCTTGAAATGTTTGTGTGGGTGACTTGCTTTTTTGTATTCTTGCCACTCACTGTGCAACGTACAAGCTTCGGGGAACCACTGGCCAAGGAGGATGGGGAGCCACAGGGAACACACCTGGACCCACCATAACTAAATTCCTCAAAAGCGGTGTTAAAGAGGAATTCTTACAAGTGGTCAAGGGGCAGGGTAAGACATGTTACTGAACACAGGGACAACCTAGGAATAATAAATAGCATTTTTTAGCACCAGAATTAATGCAAGCAAAAAGATGTTGAGGCAGTATCTTTGAAGTACAGAGAGAAACTTAGAATTCTGTGCCCCTTGAAAATATTTTCATGTTTTCATTTTTAAATATTTATTTGAGAGAGAGCACAAGCAGGGGAAGGGGCAGAGAGAGAGGGAGAGAAAGAATCCCAAGGAGTTTCCACACTGTCAGCACAGAGCCCGACATGGGGCTTGAACTCACAAACCATGATTTCATGACCTGAGCCAAAATCAAGAGTCTGACACTTAACAGACTGAGCCACCCAAGTGCCCCGAAAACATTAAAAAAAAAAAAAGACCAAAAATGTGGGGCACTTGGGTGGCTCGGTCGGTTAAGCGTCCAACTTCGGCTCAGGTCAGATGTCACTGTCTGTGAGTATGAGCCCCGCATCAGGCTCTGTGCTGACAGCTCAGAGCCTGGAGCCTGCTTTGGATTCTGTCTCCTTCTCTCTCTGCCCTTCCCCGCTCACATTCTGTCTGTCTTCCAAAAATAAATAAAAATTTTTAAAAAAAGAGAAAAAATGAGGTGACTATTTTTTCATACGTACAAAAGCAGAAAGAACCCATCACCATCCAATCAACACAACTAATGTGAAAAGACATTTTTCAGGCATGAAATGATGCTACATGGAAATACGGATCTAGATGGAAGTATGGATGTACACAAAGGAATGATAGGCTCCAAAGGAATGAGAAATGATAACTATGTAGGTAAGTATACATGACTTTAGTCATTATTTAAATCTCCTTAAAAGATAACTGACTGCTTAAACAAAGATAATCACAAAGTAAAATGAAGTGACTTTACGTTAAAAAATAAATTCTATTTGACAAAACAGACAAAACAGTACAAAACCAGAAGAGGGGGAAATGTAAGTATACAATTATGGGATTCTTATGCTAGACCTGAAATATACCACTATTTGAAGGCAGACTTTTTAATAAATTAAAACATGTACTTTAAGCCCTAAAGCAACCACTAAAATACCAAAACAAGTTATCACTAATAAACAAAAGAAATAAGAGAGTAATAAAAATAATCAATTAATCTAAAAGAAAACAGAAAAAAGAGGAAAAAAGAGTTAAAACAGATGGCTCAATAGAAAAAAAAAATATCAAGGTGCCAGATTGAAACGTCACCATATGAATAACTACCTTGAATGAAAATGGCCTAAACAGTTTAATGAAATGCAGAGGTTATCAGATTAGATTAAAAAAGCAAGACTCAACTAGATACTGCCTATAAGAAACAGATTTCAAATACAGAGACACAAACAAGTTGAAAGTAAAAGGAAGAAAAAAGATATATTATGCCAACCTAACCAAAAGACAGCTGGAACAGTTATATTAATGTCAAACAAAGCAGACTGCAAATAAGAGAACATTATTATGGATAAAGGAGGTCATTTCCTAATGTAAAAAGGTGTTAATTCTAAACATTTATGGATTCAATCAGAAAGTATCAAGATACATGAAGCAAGAACCAAAAACACAGCATCAAGAAATTTTAAAATGCACAATTTTGTAGGGAAGATTTCAACAGCCCTCTTTCAACAACTGAAAGAAATAGAGAGAAAATCAGCAAGGTTATAGAAAATACAGAAAACACCAAGACCCAATTTGACCTGATTTACACTTATAAAACACTCCATACGGCAGCACGATACAAATTCTTTTCAAGTGCATGTCAAACACAGAACATAATAGACACTGTTCTATTAAACAGGTCTCAATAAACTTAAAACCGGTCTCAATAAACTTAAAAAACATCCAAGTCATACAAAGTATGCTGACGACAATGGAATCAAGTTTCTTTTTTTCAACTTTTTTTTTTTTTCTTTTAATTTATTTTTGGGACAGAGAGAGACAGAGCATGAACGGAGGAGGGGCAGAGAGAGAGGGAGACACAGAATCGGAAACAGGCTCCAGGCTCTGAGCCATCAGCCCAGAGCCCGATGCGGGGCTCGAACTCACGGACCGCGAGATCGTG